TATCCACAGCCTGATACAGGCAGGATGGCAGCAGTGCCAGCTCAATGGCTGGAGTGTGTAACAATTTTGGCCTGAGACCCCTTCCTCCCTGCCCTACCCTACTCTGCAGCTCAGAGGGCTGACCCTGCTTGCTGCTTTCTCAGACTGCCCATTCTGCCAGGTTTCAGCTGAGCTGAGCCAAAGGGGGACTGGAGGGCAGAAGAGTGGGAGTAGGAACAGGAAGGCGAGGAGGAGCCAGGGATTTCCTCCTCTGTCTCCCAGAGGACTGCTGCTCTGGCCTCCTTGTCCCTCCAGCCTTGGGATGTGCTAGACTCTTGCTGAAGCGAACTGCAGTTGCCATTGTGAATTAAATTCCTTATGTTGCATGCCTGAAGGAGCTGGTTCCCTGGCTAGATAGACCTGAACTGATGGGTGAGGATGGCTGTGAACACTTGAATTTCAGTGGTGATGGTAGATGACCTTGCTGGGTGAAGCAGATACTGATAGAAGAAAGAGTAGGATACAGCTCCAGGTGATTCTCCCAGTTGGGTTGGCATCATCATCTACCTACCCTTGGAGGCAGGAGTCACTATGAGAATCCTGCCACTCCCAACACATGATCAGGCAGTAATCCCAGAATCTACAGCACCTCCACAGCTGTCATGTGTTTCCAGGGCTGCTGCTGACCCTCTAACGTGGACTCCCGGCCACTTGGATGGCTTTCCTAGCCACCTTTACTCTTCCCCATTGCTGCCCTCAAAACATCTTTGGCATTCTTGCAATAACAATACTCAGAGCTTGGCTCTGATCATGCCTTTTCAGAGTAACTTGCATGCAGAATTAAATATAAACCCCTCAGCGTCTGATTTAGTATTCGAGACTGTGAAACCTTCCTCATTAGGCTCACCTCTGGGCTCGTGGGGGCCTACATTTCCTCTAGGCCTCCTTCCAAACTTGACACCCCTCTAGTTGAAGCACTGTCTCTGAAATGCCCCTCCAGGTCTTCAGTTTATCAAAATGCTACTTGTTCTTCAAGATCCTGTTCTAATGGGTCTTCCAGGTCTGGAGGTGTCTCCTGAGTCCCTTTGTTGGAAAGAACCGCTCCTCCCACACATGTAAGGTACACCTGCCTTGTTAGTAACTTTCGTACACCTGCCTTGTTAGTAACTTTTACTTCATTTTGTACTGTGCTTTATTTGGGTAAGACATTTGTGTATTTCCATGGTTCAGTTTTATTGTGAGCTTCCAAGGCCAGCGTGTTATTCATTTCTGGGACTCCCATGGTGCCTAATGTGGCCCCTTATACAACTTTGGCTCTTACAGATTGCTCGTGTTGCTTGTGCCTCAGTCTTTCATGCACGTTCCTCATACGTTGCTTTGTTTACTTACCAACTTTCCTGCCAGACACTGAGCTACCTGAAGTTGGGTATTAGCACAGTTTTTGGCAAACAGTGAGTGTTTAATGTTTTAACTGGTTGACAGCATGAAAAATGTTATTTGAAAAGTTCAGAATCTTGTACATTCTTTTTAGAACCCAGCTTCATTCCAATAACCCTGCTGAGTGGCTTAATGCCTTGGCTCTCCATTCTGGGGTTTTTTTTTTTTTTTCTGAGGTTGTAGCCCGTTCTGGGCTACCCCAGAGAGGAGAATTCCCTGCTTGTTGCTGTCTGGCAAAGATGAGGTGGAGGAGAATGTGCTTCCTGCTCATTCCTTTGGTTGACAGTGAAGGGGGAAAAGCTAATTCTAGCTGTTCTGCCTCCAGTGCTGATGAAATTCAGCTGTGTGCTGTCCCTTGGGATGTGTAGCCTTTGCTTAGAACAGGATGGGGAAACAACATGAATTTTCATTGAAGTTTAAAAAATGATCATTTAGATAGGTGATTGGAGCTGGATGTGCCCTGCTTTGAGTAGGGCTGATTTCTGGGAGATAAGCTTGAGCTGGGATTACCATTGGCCCCTGGGGGAGCAATTGAAAGCACAAAGTGTGTGTGCAAAGGGGGGAGGTCTTTATCTGCCCAGGCAGCAGGCTCAGGTTTGGAATCTAGTCATTGACAAGGCAGGTCGATGAGAATTGGGTGCCTAGAACATCCGGTGAGAGGATGCCTTTGTTTTCACTGTGGCTCTGCCACTAACCACCCATTCCCTTGGGCACATCTCTTTGAGGCTTAATTTCCTGCCTTATAAAATGAGTTTTTGCATCTGGTGATCTTTTGATTGTCTATGACTTTGGGGGGAAAGAATATAGTAAAGGACAGATGGAGCAGTACATTAGGAGTGATGATTCTGCTTACTGATCGTCTTCAGGTTTACCCATCTCGCTTTTCTGACACCTTGAGATGGATGACCACAGCAATGGGACCTGTAAATTACAAGTTGGGATTTAGTTATGTGGGCTACTCTTACTGGAGTTAGATGGTATCTCAAAGTACTTTTGATTTGCATTTCTCCGATGACTAAAGATGATGAGCATTTTTTCACGTGTCTGTAGACCATGGTAGGACCACACTTATGGAGCATATCACAAGGGTACAAGTCAAATCTATCAAGTGTAGAACAAATGTCTTAACACAATAATCAAGTAAATGAGGTGAAAGCTATATTAATTAGTTTGAAGTAACCATGTCAATTGTATAAAAAAACAATACATTGTACCCCACATATGCATAAATGCATTCATGATCTATGTGTATATGACTTAATAAAAAAAGACAAAAGAAAAAAATTATGAGTTGGGAGCTTGCATGGGTGGGAAAAAAGATGCACAACTGGAGGCTGGACAACATTCCCAGGAACCAAACATGCATTTGAAGGGATGGATAATAGGGTGAAATGTCTGTGGGCATCTTGATTTAGGGAGATGAATTTCAAGCCTCCTTGAAACTATTAGGACATTACACAGTATTTCTTTCTACTTGTAATAGAGAATAATGTGAAAGATGGAGAAAAACTTTTTCCCTTTGTATCTAGGAGAGAACATTGTGGAGTCTTTTTTCTCAAAGTGATGGAAAATTAAGACTTGCTAAAAAATAAAATAAATGAACTGATTTTTATTTTTTGCTTAGGTGGTAGGGTTACCATTGAGAGACTCTTGTCTTTTTAATCTATATTCTACAAGTTTTTTTTAAATAAAAGAAACAGTGGTCTCAATTTGGAGGAGGCATCATTGTTACTGATCAATGTGTATTATGATTTAATGTGTATTATAATTAAAAGGCAATGGCTCTTTGAAAAGGTGGGAGCCATTTTGTTTGATACTGTGCTTATCACCAAGCAAGACCCTTTCTTGATCTTGACTTAATATAGGGGGGATAGTGAGTAGCTAGGGAGGACTCTCTTGGGTTTTAAACTTGGGGGCTGATATTGTGAAAATGGGCCAGCATGTAATGGGTGATGTCAAATGGACACTTAAAAGGAAAACTTGGTGTTTAGAGAGGAGAATTTTTGCAATGGAGACCTATCTAGAAGGCCTTGGGGAGTTGGTAAAGTCAGGGCTTAATGGATTTAGACTCATTTTATCAAGATCTAGATGATTTACTCCAACTTGAAGGTCCTCATTCTGTTATGTGTTAGAGGTTCATTGCTGAGGTTATCACTGTTGTCTTGCAAGACCCAGAACTTAATATGTATGTAATTAATGTGGTTTATAAAACAGGAAATATCAATCTTAGTATCAGCCTGATAGTATCATTGTTCTTCTCCAGCATCACCCTGCTCTGTATTCACTGTGGCTGTGCTCCTGAGGGTGGTCCTCAACAAGGGACTGGTGGACAGAAAGTGTCAAGAGTGAATACAGGCTTCATCTGTACTCCCTGGTGGAGAAGGTTCCCTTCCCTACCTGGCACGATGAATTAAAGGCATGATTGCAAGTGAGGACATTTTTACAGAGTCATTGTTAATGGGTTGGTGAGTTTTGAGAGATGGG